TCTTCCCCATGCTTTTATCAAATGTGCTCAGTGATATTGACCTCCACTATTCATCACTGTATTTAGTTAATCCAGGCTTTCATATTGTGCTTTTTCGGCAGACATGGAAGTTATAGATGAGGTTAACTAAATCAATCAGTGCCATGTGCAGTATGCTCTACTAACGATAAGAATAGTACTGATCAGATGGTACATGCCACAAATGTTTCTGACACCCAGTTTCACAGAATACAGACAAAAGTCTTGAATAAAAATACCTTTCCAGCCACCATACTGACATGAACTCAGGATGTTTTCAGATATTTTACATTAAGCATTTCTTACACTGCAATGCTCATCCAATGAAAGTAACAAAAATATTGCTAGCTCAACAGAGTTTCAGTGACTTCAAGGAATAATCTTAACATAAGACACACACTCGCCCAGCTCAAATAAAATAAAATATAACTTGTATATCACCTACAATGTCCCTCAACAACAAATCAGTGGGCTAGTGAGAGAAACTGACTCCAAGGCACCAAATGAATTCTGTGGCTGAGAATGGACTTCATCCTGGCCTTCTACAAGAGTAGTTCAATATTTTAACCACAACTGGTTGTTACTACCCATGTTTCCCTGAAAATAAGACCAGGTCTTATTTTCTTTTGGGCCCCAAAATAAGCACCAGGGCTTATTTTCAGGGGGTGTCTTATTTTTTTCCATGTACAGGAGGTCCACTTCTTCGCCCCGCACAGGCTTACCTCAGGGCCCCGCAGCCAGGCCATCCGTGCCCTGACACTGCCTTGCTTTGCGGCCACAGCACACCACTCGGCCTTCTACTCCATTGTGGGCATGAGCAAGCAGAAGAGGCCACGGACTCCTGGTGCACATGGCTGCTGCTGCTGCGAGGCAGGTGTCAGAGTGTGGATGGCCTGGCTGCAGGGGCCCTGAGGTAAGCCTGTGCAGGGTGCATGGGGCAGCTTCACCACCCCATCTCACAGCCACGATACCACGAGCAACCAGACAGAATGGGCAGCCAGCCAGCTGCACAGGCTCTTATGTAGGACTTATTTGGGGGGAAGGGCTTATATTAGGCACACACACAAAACACGCTAGGTCTTATTTTTGGGATAGGTCTTATTTTCAGGAAAATGGTATGTTACATTGAATAGTGCTGTTATTAAATTATATTAGCTAGTCAATTAAAGGAAGAACACCTGTGTATTGTTTCTAACTAGAGTTTTGTTAATAATTATACAAATTTTCAAATCCCCATCACCATTTTCTCACTTCTCTTCACACAATTGCTGTGTGTATACATCACTCTCTTTTCCTCAGACCATTCTCTATGCAACTGAGGCAGCAGGCTATAGTCCACAAAACGAATGTGTGAATAGACACATTAATCTTTCCAACTCTTTGTTGTTTCTACAATACTATTTCATTTGGTTGATGGAGCTTAATTTTTCCAACATGCTCTTTACTGTTTGCATATCAGTGTTGAACAATGAAGCAAATGAAAAAAAAGTTTTTTAAAAATGATAATCTTTGACAAGCTGACTTAGGGGCTAAACCCAGAAACCACTGTGAATAAAAGAGACACACCAAGGTGCTGTAAGCCAATGGTGGAGGATGCTGTTTGAATGCAGAGTATTCAAGATTCATTCTTGGGCAAATATGTGTAGGGCTAGAAGGGAGAGTTCTTTTTTTCAAACATTTAAGAGCTGCTGCCAATTAATATAGAATATAGAAACAGACGGGTGGTCTGATTCAGCCTATGGCAGGTTTATGACATCAGAACATTCAAATAACAACCTCAACCTACTATGGTAACCTAGTGATTTTCTGATAGCATGGCGAGACCTTCAATTTTTCAGCAGTTAAGTGGCAGGAGTAGATATGACATGAAAGTCTGCCACAAAAGGACAATGGAATGTGGTGGGTGGAGAACAAAATTCCTAGGGGATGGGGGGGGGGGAGAATCTGGTACAAAGATATGTAAGATATACAGTAAAAATTCACTGAGCACTGGAGAAAATCTTAATTTTCTTCTCTGAAAGCAAGTATAAAAACTTTCACTTGTGTTTGTCCTTTACAGTTTTCTAAAGTGTAAAAGCAAGACAAAATAGGTTTTGATTCTACAAGAAACAAAGCTTAATTTATTATAGATTTTAAACTAAAATAACCAGCAATGCATGTTCAAATATACAGTATTATGATTGCAATGGTTGTAGTTTGTTTTCATTGTACATACTAAATATAAAAAAACATTAAGCTTTGCTAAGATGCTCCAAAAATGGTATTTCTGTATTTATATGTGCACTGGGACTTGGGACAGAACTGCATGCAAAAGATGCTTTCTTGTGGCTCTTAAAAAGACATTAACATATGCAAGTGCAGTTTAACTAGTTCCATTCTTTTCCAGTAAAACCCTGCCAATTTCCTCAATTCAGTAGCCTTGTAACAAGAAGTGGATAGTTTTGTATTCAAAACACAACTGCAAGAAGTATGGTTATACATTCATAATATAGCTTCCTATAAAAAGGCTAGTAACTATGAGAACTGAAAATAACCGTATGCGTTTTCACATTACAAAATAATCACCCACATCTGAAAAGTCTGAAGCATTTCATCAATGTATTTTTAAGTTCAAAAAATACTTTTAAATCACAACATTCCAAGAAATATTTTTTTTTCAGCCTCTGAGACAAATAAACTGAAATGTGCTAACTTTGGGACCCTACAAGTAATGAATGACAATCCCATATACCTTGTATTTACAAAAATGGTATCAAATACTGTAATAAAACAGGAATGAAAGAAAGTTCCATGCAATTCTATGACTATATATATGAGAATAATACCGGTACACGGTTTTGGGAGTTTTGTTAGAGCATAAATACCATGTATAGACTAACATGGGTGTTATATATATATATATATATATATATATATATATATATATATATATATTTTTTTGGGGGGGGGCATTGCTGGTGTTTTAAACTATTATTGCCGGTCCATTTACAGAAGTCTTTTGGCCTTTTCTGTCTTCCTTTCTCAAGGTAAAATTACAGCTTCGAGGTTTGATCATTGGCAAGATTAGCCCCATTTACAACTGCTGCCCAAAATACACGACGTACACAGTTGTACCTCTCAATCTTCAATCTATGTCTCTCAATCTTCCCAAGGATGCCCACCCCATTTATTTACAGACCCCACCAACCGCAGAGCTGTGGAAACAGGCCTCGAAGACGCCAAAGGAAAGCAAAGCAACCGTCTTGTTTTCGGTACCATGTAAACAACCTTCCGCTGCGGAGAATTTCCTGCTTTGCGAGGCCGAGGAGCCAGGGGTCGGGCTGTCGTCTTAAATGCCCTCCTTGTCGTTTGTAAGGAAGCTCCCCGAGTTATACTACTCAACCCTCCTGCCCTTTTTTTTCCAGACCTGAAGCCCCCCAAGCAGGCAACTGTTTTAAGGCTCGGCGCCGGGGTTTACCGGCCTTTTCGCGCGTCCCAGCGGGCTGCAAACCCAGCAACCTAGCCCCTATTCATTCCTGCTCTTCTCGGCCGGGTTAGGTGGGAAGGTCCGATTCAGGAGAAAGAGCCAAAACCAGGGAGCCCAACCATCCCCCCTCTTCCCCCGTAGGGAGCAGCCGAGAAGCCGGGAGGAAGCGAGGCCTCATCCCACCGGGAAAGGGCGACCCAGAAACCTCCCGCCAGGCGCCCCGCGTCCCCCTCTCGCCTGGTGGAAGAGCGGGGAGAGAAAAGGAAGATTTCCCCGCTGGCTCGCTCCCCCTCCAAGCCTTCCTCACCTCAGCGCGCATCCGTCCCAAAGTACCCGCCGCCGCCGCCGCCAAATGTCCTGCAGCCATTTCTCATAGTCCTCGCCGCGGACAAAAGTTATTGGCAAGCCCCCTTCTTCGCTTTCGGCATCCCCGCCTCTTTGGCTCTCCGTGCTAGGAGGGCTGGAGCACCCGCCGCCGCCACCATCCGCGCTCACTTCCGGCTCTTGGAAGGAAAGACTGGCGGAGGGAGGGAAGATCCGCGGCGGCGGCGGCAGCAAAAAAATGCCCTCTTGCCAGCGCCGCGGGGTGGCTCCGAACTCCTCCGAGGCGAGATCCGCGAGAAGCGGGGCCACGTACCTCCCCGCGAAGGAGTTGCTCGGGGGGGAGGGGAGAGGACGTCGTGATTTCGAGCCAAGTGATTGCTGACTACCTATGGAGGTGGGGGTTGTCCTTAAAAGTCAATGAGGGATGGCTGCGGCTGCCTCGGAATGACGAACCAGCCAAAAAACCCAATACCGCCCGGGGGAGTGGGGATAGTACGAACCCCGTTTATGGTTTGGTTTGTGTCGTGGGAACCCCGGGGGAAAAAAAATGGGATCGCTTCAGTCAGCTATGGAAGTAGTCCCGATGGCTATGGTTGGGCAAACGCTAACTTCTCCCGACTTGGCGTGACCGCGGCTTAACACAATCATGATTTTTTTTACTCAATCCAATTAAATTGACACACCGTGACTATTAAGCAATTACGTGGTTCCCTTTGCCTGAGCAGGACGTGCTAACTGGTCTGTTGTCGCTTAACATTGCAGGCAGATCAAGTCATGGGCTTGTTCAAAAAATCATGGTTAAAAGGCCAGTCTTAGTATTATTCATAAATACATTCATGAACTCAGCCTAAGTGACATTGCCTTTGTTGGTAAATCATGATTTACACAACCCTATTTTTCTGATCACAAACAACATGCGTTCTGGCTCTGGCAGTACCTGCTAAAATAAGCAAAATAATCTCACTAAATTGTGTTCCCTTATTCACCCTTACCTCCTTAATTAGTAAACTCTACAGAGGCAGCACGGGTCAAGAATTGGTATAACCCCACTGCTTAATTTTTAATCCCTGTTTAGGGGGACGAGAGAATAATTCCTATTGTTATAATATTTACACCACCAACTACTGTTTGACAGATTTTCCTTCAAAATAAAAGAGGCTGTATTTGTAGAAAAACACTTGATTCCACTGACCTGAAAGGAAAACCAAATCGCTGTTTTGAAAAGCAGAGAAGACTTTCAGATAACACAGACTGTTTTTGTCAGGGATCTCACTTAAATAGGAAAAATTCAACAAGTTTTTTAGGTCTGAAGAATTAGTCATGGAGTTTCACCACCTGATTTTTATCCAATTACTGTATGTGGCTGTTAAAGGCACAGAAGGAACATTTATAACCTTTTTGATTAACCATCGCGTTACATCATTCTTTATGTATATAGTTCTAATTGTTCTGGGAAGTACTTGGATATTGAACAAACTCTGATGTCACCTGATCACTGCCCTCTTTTCATATTCATCTGCCACACAGGCCACTCAGAATGTAACTTTACAGGTGACTCATGGCTCAGGAGGGCTTCATCTATTTGTTCTAGCAGCCAATGCATGTTTCATCAACTTTAGAACAGTTAAAAGTTCAACAGCTAATACTTCCGTATTGAGAAAAGAGTAATTTTTTTTATTTCTGATTGTCGCACAGCTTCCTTTCCCTCCTCACCAAAAAAGAACAAAAATAAGTCCTTACAAAGTTTCCAATATTCCTTGATATCCCCCCTTAACTTTAATCATTTTCTGTATTCCAATAGTGGAATAATTAATATTTATTGTTAACTAGAACTTTAATATTTTGGATTTGAATGACTGCAAACTGTAGAAGGAACAAAACTACCTATTAGTTGCTTCACACTGGCTGGATATTTCTTAGCACTGGTGATGGCAAAAGAGCAGTGGTATAATGGGCTGGATTTCATGCTTGCTTCCAGACAACATGACTTTTGTTCTTTAGGATGTGCTGTTTATGGCAGTATGTATGATGTGTTGGGACCAGGCTGAGGATGTCACCAATTTCTACTTAGGTAATTGCATTTTATGCAGCAATAAGGATGATACAATGGATATTTCTTCTGTTTGCCAACCCTTGGTTCATGACCCAAAAGGGGAATAGTAATTTATTTGGATGTTATTCCCATAAATAAAGAGAAATATATCATTACTATAATTACTATAGATGTGACAGTTTGAACTTGAAGCATGTTAAAAATATTCTCTATTAAATCAGCATATAATCCTCTTATAACAAAACCTACTTGTTGACACTTGTTTATTCTCTGATAATTTGATTTACTATATCATTACAGTACTATTCATTTTAGTATTTAGTAAAGTTATTACAATACTATTATGAACATAGAATCATAAGGTTGGAAGGGATCTTGGAGGTTTTCTAGTCTAATCAAATGTTATATCCAAAATTTCAGGAAGTATTGATCTCTGAAATGTAATGTCTTTATATCATTAGACCATACTAAAATGTGGTAAACGGGTGGGATTCTACCGGTTCTGTCCACTTCTGTAGAACTGGTTGCTATGAAAAGCAGCAAACAGAGAGCATACATAGAACCGGTTCTATGTCTGCTGCTGTTTTGGCCCACCTGTCTGCCTGGGCTCTTACCCGACCTTTATTTCCTGCGTTTTCAACCGCAGCTGCTTTGCATGACACAGCTACGGTTGAAAAAGCAGGAAAAAAGTGCTTTTTCAACCACTGCGCACCCACGCGCAGTGCTGCTCAGCTGTCCAGTCAGCTAGATGACGATGATATACACGCGCGCGCAGTGTAACATCACTGAACCGGTAGTTACACCGGTCAGATCCCACCCCTGGTGGTAAATTACTGGAAAATTTCACAAATATGTATGCTGGAATGCAAATGCAAGATCACTGAACTCTTGCAAATAGTACAGAGGGAAAAAAGCACCGAATTTACTCATGGAAAGCTAAACAAAAACAAAGGAAAAGATATGAAGTAACACAAGTATAGCATTAAAGTATTGATCAAAATGCATTTTTCCAGCTTGTTTAGCAAATAATTAAATAATACATACTAAACATATGTATGTATGTATAGTATAAATGTAATATATGTTTAACGTATCTATAAGTACCATTCAAAAATTCCTAGTAAAAATTATATACAAGAAAAAGAGGGAAACAGATTGTCATTTGTATATTCAGGTTTTGAAGACATATGATTGATTTAAATAAGTTATTAGTATAAGTTAACAACCTTTTCTCTCAGGACAGATAGACAAAACTAAAAATGAGATATATTTTTACTTCTAAAGATTTCATAATTGAGTGTATAAATGAATTGTTTTTATTAAATTTAAAATAAAGTCTATATTATATTTCTGAAAATTAATCTGAAAATTCAATATTGTATGTTATTCTATTTAGGCAAACATAGCCTCTAAACTCCACATTAATACTTAAAAATAACAATATTATGCAAGACAGACCTCCATAAAGTTGCCTAATTTGTAATATTATACATGGGGGGGGGGATGAAATTAAATAAATATATGCCTGAATAAGCGTGTATAGAGCTAATATATGCCAGAGTAAACATATAGGATTAATATTTTTAAAAATAAAATACTACTTGACAACTCTTTTTAATCCCTAATTTAAAATATGGCCAAAGTCAAACTTCCTGCACATAAGATTGCAGGCAAACAATATTAGCATGAGATAACACCATTGTGTAAAGAATGTACCTGGATGGAATGAGAACTGGATTATGTATTGGTATCAGCTTGTAACACTATAAAATTAATGTGGCTTCTAGCTGACATAAAAATCTTGATTAATAAAACAGACGTTATATGAATATGTATGAAATACAACTACATTCTGTAGTCCATTTTTTTAAAATGAATATTTTAGGAAATTTGTGATAAATGTGGGAATCACAATAGAACAAGGAAAGAAAACCTCCTTTATTATAAAATTTTATGATATTTTTCTACTTGAAAATATTTTAAAACAGCTCTCAGGTTAGATAACAAACATTCTTTAGATTTTTCCATTTGACCCACTTATTCAATAATGCCAAAGGAGTCATTCAAAAGAATACTTGCTGAGGTTATTTTTTGTTCTCATCTTGTCCATACCTCTTACAAATTTCTTTCCATATGTACACATCTCAGATTATGATTGGCCATTTGGTGCCAAGTCACTGCACTTCGAAAGAAGGAAATACAGAAGCTTCAATCTGATTGGTTGAATGCCTGCGTGTATTCTTTTCCTAAAGGATACAAGAAGCAATTACTCATTTCATAATACTCCATATTTAGACTGTCACTGCGTTTGAAGATCTTCAGTAGGGATAATCATTTACAAACGAGACTCTTGATGAACTGGAGTTTATTACTTAAAATGTATGCAATCTATGGTTCTGGGGAAAAAATAATTTAAAACTTCTGCATGCTCCTTTCTAATTAATATTTATAAAGAATGGACTTAATTTTATCTTTACACAAGATTATAGTGTGGCTTATACAGATAATGCTCGATTTAACAACAGTTCATTTAGTGACCATTCGAAGTTACAATGGCCCACTGATACAAGTGACTTATGACAAATTTTCACACTGCTGACCATTGCAGCATTCCCATAGCCATGTGACCAAAATTCAGATGCTTGACAACTGAGTACAGGTAGTAGTCCTCGACTTATGACCACAACTGAGCCCAGTATTTATGTTGCTAAGTGAAAAATTTGTTAAGTGAGTTTTGCCCCATTTTATGACTTTTCTTGCCCCATTTGGTAAGCGAATCACGGCAGTTGTTAAATTAGAAACGGTTGTTAAGGGAATCTGCCTTCCTCATTGATTTGTCAGAAAGTCGCAAAAGGGGATCATGTGACCCCAGGACACTGCAACCATCATAAATATGAACCAGTTGTCAAGCATCCAAATGTAAATCACATGACCATGGGGATACTGCAACAGTCAAGTGTGAAAAATGGTCATACGTCAGTTTTTGGCCTGTTATAAGACTACCTGTATGTTTATGGCAGTTGCCATGTCCTGGGGTCATGTGATCATCTTTTGCAATCTTCTGATAAGCAATGTCAATGCTTTCCTAGTATGATTTGATTGCTTATTGTACCCTATGACTATCATTAAGTGTGGTACTTTATGATTCTTGACAAATGTATCTTTTCTTTTATGTACACTGAGAGCATTTGCACCAAGACAAATTCCTTGTGTGTCCAACCACACTTGGCCAATAAAGAATTCTATTCTATTCTATGTCAGCATTCTAGCAAACCTCCATTCCAACCAATAACTTGGAGACAGACATCTCTCAAAAGTTCCTTTTATTTGGATAGTACCTGGCACATCTGTGGAATCCCGAATCTGAAGTTCCGGGCTTCCTTGCAATAAGTAAAAACTACAAATCCATCCCCTATAACCATCACCACATTACATAGCCTAATCACCATCTGTCCCAAAGTAAGACTTCCTTTTCATTGTGTGCAACATTACCTGACCTTGAATCAGCAAAAGGATTTTATTATGTCTAACTAGATATACTCCAAAGATTTCCTCCCACTTTCCCAGGCTCAATTGTGGCAGCATGGGAGCATTGGATCTCAATATGGCGTCCAAAGCTGACAGTCAATGGTGAAGCCCTATTCATTTAACAATGTTAGTAACCATGTTACTAACTTAACAGCTGTGATTCACTTAACAACTGTGGCAAGAAAGGTCATAAAAAGGGGCAAAATTCACTTTATAACTCTCACTTTGCAATAGAAATTTTGGACTCAGTTGTGGTCATAAGTCAAAGGCCACCTACATTGTGAAATAAAAAAATGTTGTTTTAATTTGCTGTACAGTATGTGGGTGGAGGGAAGTGAAACAGTTATTTCATCAATGTTAGGATTTTCAAAAAAAGTCTAAAGTAAATAGTATATTGATTGAATGTTAGTACATTTAAAGTCCATTTTAAAACAAGCGCTAATTAAACAGCTGATTTCATTACAGAAAAGAATGTATAACCCCAAAAGAAAAGCGCACTGCAACAATAAATAACTCACATGACAAGTTGTTGTTGCATTTTATACCAGTTCATTATAATTTTAAATCCTCTCGTGAGTAGGAACATAGCTTTATCAAGACATCAAACATTACAATATTAGACATGATTGTATTGCAAAAACCTTTTGATATGAGCAGAGCAGACAGGTGCATGTGTAAATAAATGTTTGATGCATGTTTTTGTTCATGTATATTAGCAAGCATTGAAAACAACCTGCCTTTATAAAACTTTAAATAAAGCAAGGAAAAGCATTATCATTTTACAACATGAATGGGGAGCCTCTTTTCCACCTTTTTCATAGGTAGTGACCATATTGGTAGTGATCAGTGTTAAAGGTAACACTTTTTGCTATCTTTTTCGCCCAAACACTC